TTTTGGGCATTTATTTAACGCTACAATATATAAAACCATTGCACTTTACAAATAAGCTAAGTCATTCTGCAATGCTAACGGGTGTTAGAGATGGTTGGAAGAGAATTAGTGACGACCAAACCAAAACGTGACATCAGTGCTTGAAGACACTAACCTCTAGTCTGAGCCATGTTGGTAGATGCAGACTACTTGGTTGGGGTCCGCGTGACTTTCGTAACCGATGGTTGGAGACTATTGGTGACATGGCTCAGAATCGATCACAATGGCGTCGGTGCATACACTCCCTGTCTTCCCTTAAACTAAGGGATTAAAATCGCTTCATATCTTTCTTTCTACGAACTAATTCTATATTCCGGTACTGTATCCTTATATGCAATCTTTCTCCTATATATTACCACCTTTAACCTAACCACTCCCATGAATCCGGTGTTCATCTTGCTGTGCTAACGAGGTATGGCAACCTGGACCGATGCATATATGTGTCTGATCCTACGTTGTAGCTGACTGACTGACATTAGTTGTTTAATTACTGAAAGCTACCTTTAAACAAGCCTATTCATTACTGATATTGGGACTAAGTGAATAGTTATTACAAAAGCCTCAAAACTTTACAACAATTAATCGATATCTATTTCCAATGAAGTCTAATTAACTAACAAGATAACTTCAATAGCTACTAAAATATGTTATTATGCAAACAAGAGCGGGGTGGGGGGTGTAGGGCAAGGGAACTTTTGTCATAAACATTAGAACATTGTCAATCAAAAATGGGAGAACAGGGAAATGATTTTAATGTATGAATGTAATAGTATGAGGTGATTTCAATGTCATTAGAGAATAATTATATTCATTCATAACTAGAGAAAAGAGAATGGAAATACGACTACTGAACAACAACAATTGTAACAATTATAGTGATGAGTTTGTCGTCATACAATTAATAAGTTGATTTATGATGTATGGATTTGGACAGATATTATTTAAATTAGTTGAATTTACCAAGGATAGTGTGAATATAAAATATCTATGAGAATTGAAGTTTAATGAATGAACTAAGTAATAACAATAGTTGGACTGTAGTGAACAAGAACACGGGTGGAGACAATCGAATGTATTTGGATCAACAATTACAGTCTATCTCAACAAAATCTGAATACCATATAGTCAATCGTTAATTTGCAAAATATTCATGCATCAAATCAAACTGGACTGTTTCTGTTGCAAACACCAATCCATTGTCTCCCATTCTATTGTTCATGCATTTTCTTACAAATTCCATTGTGTTCTCGCTCTACCTTTCTTGATCTTTGCCACCTTCCGCTGCCAGACATTACGTTCGTTTAACGCACGTTATATACTACTTATATCAATATAAGTAGCTCACACCACAGGACGTTTGATGTTCTTATAAATTAACTAGTGGAATGGAATATAGTTAATGGTGTGCAACATCATGAATTAGTCGATATGTAGTTGTACCTTATAAAATACAGCTTTTTGTGTCAAAGATGGCCTTCCTACTGATTCTTTTATTGGATTAGGTAACATTCAGTTGAAAAGCTTTCCTGGTAATAATAGTAAAATGATGCCATTGTAATTTTCACATTTACTCAGATCTCCTTTCTTTTGTATCTTGATGAGATACCAATCTTTCCAGCTTGTTGGTACCTGTTCTTTCTTCTAAATCTTCCTGAATAGAATGTGAAGCATATTTGCAGTCAATTCTATGTGTAACCGGTGTATGTTGTCTGGTTCGTTTCACTCGCTTAAGTACCGTTAGAATTTTATTATCGAATAACTTTGCAAATATCATATCGCTCATTGTGTAGATTAGTACAAAGGGACACTGAATACATATGCTCCACACAAGTCACTTTATACGTGTGTGAGCTATGATATTGACGGGGTGCCCAAACCGAAGTAGGTGGATTTCTTACGGCACCACATTCTGAGCCTTCGAACTAAAAGTCTGGTTCACAAGACAGTGGAGCAACGTTAAAAGATGCAGTCCCATGGTAGCCGAGGCCAATAATTGGTTCAAATGCCATTTGTTTCCTCATGATACTGGAGCCCATGTTCACCATTGGTTTGGAAACAGGGTTTCACAACTTCCCATAGCAGACTCTCCATGTCCACCAACCCGATTAAAGCAGTGGACATTTGCTTTTCGTATTCTTATTTTCGCTAACAACACCCCGCCACGAGAAGACAGTGAGTAGGACTTGTCTGGTAGTAGCTGTATACTCGTGGCCATGTGAGAGCACTTCGAGTGGAAGAGAGGACTCTTTCCACCCTTGGCCATCACGAAAACTAATTGTTATAGACTTGCATCGTAACAAGATACCAGTCATCATAGTAATGAGTTCCTGCATATTTGATCATCTATAGAAATCACATTCATGAATATTTCTTAAGCATCGACAAAATCTCAACGCTAAACGACTAATCAAGAGATAATTCACACTAATTAACAGATTACATTTTAGAGTACGTTAGGAAGTTGAATCCATAAAATAAGTCGACAAGATCTATAAAGGAATCATGTGTAAAAATTTTCAAATTTTTATTAATTTTCAAAACATTTAGTCTCTTTAATAAAGTTGGATGATGTGATTAAAAGATCAAGATTAAATAAACTTATGCGATATTTTAGCTCAACCATCTTCTACTGTCTTCGGTGAGTTACTACCTCACACACGACACGGATTACATCTACTGATCACAGCTTCTCACTGGAATTCCAAGAATCACCCTTCGAAGCTAGTCACTAGTGAGCACACGATAACTGTATGTGGTTATGGAGATTGTTGAGTTTTGATTGAGATCGCGCAATATCGTGGATTGGTTGAAGTTAGATATTAACACCGTTAGACGTCGGTTCAGTGGTCTGGAGGTTAATCGTTCATGCGAGTGACTAGAGGTCCTGGTTTCAAACCATGTGTGAATAATAATGGATGTGAACTGCTGAATAGTTCCATACTAGAACGAAAAGGCAGTCCAGTACTTCCAGATTTCCAATAGTGGTCTAACATGATCTTGATCAAAATAATTAGTTACCACCAGGCGATCAACTTTCACACTTTACAATGATCCACTCATTTGGTAGTTATTGTAAGTGTTTTATTTCATGATTTGTATATAACTATATTCATGATAATTGTACGACCTAAAATGTTCATCAAAATGTATGATTGATTTGCTTAAAATCCAAATGCTGTCAACGGAATAACATAGACAAATCTATTATTATTTATTTGTTGTTTCGAACCACAATTCTGTAGACTAAATACAATTGTCTGACTACTGGATCATATAACTAAAAATGGTTCGACTCTGTTTCTTAGTAGATACCCGTCAGCAGACATTTGTAGGATATTCAAATTTGTATCTCTTAGATAATTCTGTTTTAAATCATTTATACTATTATTTTTAGCAAGGATAATTATTATAAGTAGAGATAGATGAAGGCTATTAGTGGAATATGAGACTCGTCAGTTGACTGAAGCTGTATCTCAAAGTCGATGTTCACTTAGACACCCGAACCCAGTAGTTTTTGATTCGAACGCTATTGCGTTATCCACTTAGCTACTGAGTTCAATAAGTCACTATCTTGTAAAATGATTTGAAGTTTTAAATCATTTTTATATTCGTTGCAATGCTAATCATCAATGAGAAGATTCAAACGATAATTCTGGGTTCGAATTCCCGCGAGTGGGATCGTGGATGCGCACTGATGAAGAGTTCTACAATAGGATGAAACTGTTGTTCAGTACTTCCAGGTTTTCAATAATGGTCTAACATCAATCGGTTCATGATCTCAATCAAAACTTACCAATCTCCACAACCCTTATACTGATAATTCGAATCATTTAGTTGAGTTCTCACGATATTTAGATTTGATTATCAAGATCCAAATGAATGACTTGGTTATCTTTCATGTATTTACTCCTTGAAAGTACCTTTGTATCTTTCAACCCTCTTACATAAATTATATGCAATATTATATACCTATTCCTACTTCAGTATTCTAAAAGCTAATTGATAATCTGTTTGATATCATAATGTTTACTACATTTTGTATTTGCAGTAATTCTGTTGAGAAAAAAATAGCATAGAATTGCATTTGGTCTACATCCTTGATATATATTCTTATATACCTATATCATCACATCATTATCAAAATGAGTCAATATTATCTACATGACAGTTTGTTAATATTAAATATAGATGATGATTATACTTGTAGTGTCGGTTATTATATTAAGTTCATATACACTTCTTATCCCATTTACTCATCACATGTCTATAACTCACTTTTGTGTAACTATAAATATTGATTAACTCTTGGTTAAATGAGAGTTGGCTAACCCGCCATCTCCAGTGCACGTCGTTTTGCTTTGTTCGATTCCATTCGCTTTATATACAGAATATATGTATTCAAAACTACATTCTCGTTGTTTGACTTATTTAATTCCGTTATTGACTAACTCAATTTAAGCCGATGATTATATACGAGGATAGGTGATAACAAACATTCATACGATCTAACTGGAGTCAGATCTCGGGTCACTAAACTGGAGAGCCCTTTCAACAACATCGTTCGATCTAAACGACGATAAAATAATGGGCTAACAGTGGAATCCAGGTGTTTTGTTTCGTCCACCACTAAGTGAATTTAAACTTCATCCCATTGCACAAGCAAATGGATATCAGAACTCAGTAGTTAAGTGGATAACGCGATGGCGTACTGGGTTCGAATCCCGGAGTGAACATCAACTCTAGAATGTAGGTATATCCAGCTGACAAGTCCAAAATAGGACGAAACGCGCGTCCTCCATTCCATTGCTAGTCACTATCCATCTTTACAACTTTTCGTTGTACAAGTTACAAAAAAGCTCAATAAGAGACAATGTGGTTGTTGTCAGTTGACTGGACTGCTAACATCTAACTGATGATAACTCTTTATTTATTGTCAGCATCAACCAAGAAGTAAGAAAATGAAAACTTATTGAAATACTTTATGTTGAGAATTCTATATTGATTGTACCAATTACATAATACTGAATAAAGCCATTAATCATTTCTTTAATCATTAAAAGTGTATACATTGAAAGTAGTTAAATAGAAAGAAATGATTATAATAAATAATCCCCCCCCTAAAAAAGAAACACAAAAAAAACAATCAATCAATCTTCCATTTTTAATGTCATTTCCGATGGTGTTATTGCTATTGGATAGAATTTATGCCATTGTGATATGACTTGATCTTTTGTAGCTAATACACGTTCCCAATGTTCTAATTCATTAATACTTGTATTATATTTACCTTTAATTATTCATAGAATGAAAGAAAATAACATTTTGTTTTTCATTATTTCATAGAATGTTTATAATAATAGTAAATTTGATAAGGTGTCAAATATGAAGTTTAATCATTTTGATATAGGATAATAAAAGAGCTATTGTTACCTCCAATGGAGTATAGGCTGACGAACAGCATTTGACAATTCAATGTACTCTGGACCTTCTTTTCCAGTCCCATCCAATTCTTGTTCATTCTTCTCATGTCTATTTCCATTTCTCGGTGTAATGTGTTCTTTCGTCTTCCTCTTCTCCATGAGGATTCCATGTAAGGACTTGCCTTGGGTGCTTTCCTGAATGTGTGTCCTATCCACTTCCAGTGCTTTTTCTTCCATATGGAATCTGGTATATTCTCTCTCACAGTATATTGTTGTTGATAGTGTCTGGCCAATGGAAAGTTCTGACTTTGATGTTGGTTAACAGACAGTTGTTTTGAGTTCCAGATGCTCTTCGATTGTAGATATGCTGCTCTTGTTTTGCCGATCAGCGCCTTCACATCTGCATCAGATCCACCGTGTTCATCAATGATGACAAACTCGTTTGAAGTTAAGACCGGTGTTAGGCAAGGTTGCTTACTCTCACCCTTTCTCTTTCTCCTGGTGATCGACTGGATCATGAAGACGTCAACATCTGAAGGGAAACACGGGATACAGGGTCATCTAGGATGCAGTTGGATGATCTAGACTTTGCAGATAATCTGGATCTTCTATCGCACACGCTGCAACAAATGCAAGAGAAGACGACCAATGTAGCAGCATCCTCAGCAGTAGTAGGTCTCAACATACATAAAGGAAAAAGCAAGATTCTCCGATACAACACAACATACACCAATCCAATCACAATTGATGGGGAAGATTTGGGAGATGAAAAACCTTTACATATATGGGCAGCATCATTGATGAATACGGTGGATCTGATGCAGATGTGAATGTGCGGATCCGAAAAGCAAGAACATTATATTTACAAGTGAAGGACATCTGGAACTCAAAACAACTGTTAACCAAAACCAAGGTCAGGATTCTCAATACAAATGTCAAGACAGTTCTACTGTATGGGGCCGAAACTTGGAGAACTATGGAAACAATCATTCAGAAGATACAGGTGTTTATTAACAGTTGTCTACACAAAATACTTCGGATCCATTGGCCAGACACTATCAACAACAATATACTGTGAGAGAGAATATACCAGATTCCATATGGAAGAAAAAGCACTGGAAGTGGATAGGACACACATTCAGGAAAGCACCCAAGGCAAGTCCTTACATGGAATCCTCATGGAGAAGAGGAAGACGAAAGAACACATTACACCGAGAAATGGAAATAGACATGAGGAGAATGAACAAGAATTGGATGGGACTAGAAAAGAAGGCCCATGACAGAGTGGGTTGGAGAATGTTGGTCGTCGGCCTATGCTCCATTAAGTGTAGCAAGCGTAATTAATTAAGTAAATAATATATATTTGTATGGTATGGCAAGGGAACCAAGTTTTGGCCAATTGAGTGCAAATATCATTTAGTTGATTTTGATCATATCACTGTACCTTTCAGCAAATTTAAAATTAGAAGGGTGTACTGTAATATTTGTACAGTTGAAATATAGATAAAATATAGATATGAGTTTATAATCATTTCTCAGCTAATAAAATGCTTCCTCCTCCTTCTCCTCCTCCTCTTCTACCTCAGTCTTCTTACGCATGAATAGGAAGCTTGTTGACCCGTATCGAACCCTGATACAATGAAATAATCAACCCATCAACGTTGTGTTAAGCGTTTAATAAAGCCCAAAAATACTAAGGAAAAACACTTATCTAATCCTCATTCCCATAGGAACTTGGTATTTTTATGTAAAAACTTACCTATTTTGCACGTTCCAATTATAATTCGTTTATTGAATGGTTTTCTTTTGAATAATGAAAATTCTATAGTGATTTGGCCTATTTGATATGGTTTTATATAAAATGCAAATGTTTCATTCATGTGTATTGTAGATTGTTGTTGATGAGATGCACTATGCGCTTTATTAATTAAACCATCTTCTTCTGTTCTAATAAATAATTTCACATAGATACCTAATAAAAGAAAAAAATATATTTAAGTAGTTGAAATAACTATCTTTGATGCCTATAACTTTCTGTTGTTAACTTAAAGAGAACATGGGAGCAAATCATACAGCTTTTAAGCTTTTAATGGGATTTACTCACTTACTTACTTACACCTGTTACTCCCAGTGGATCATAAGCCGTCAACCAGCATTCTCCAACCCTCTTCTCCTTTATTTAGCTTTGAGGATTGCAAGGGAGGACTTGTCTTGTGGTGCAGTTCGGTGCTTTCCTCAATATGTGTCCTATACCACTTTCAGTGTTTCTTCCTAATTTCTGCCTCCAATGAAATCTGGTTTATTCTCTTCCATAGTGAGTTGTTGCTAATAATGTCTGACCAACGGACGTGAAGTATTTTGAGTAGACAACTGTTAATAAACACCTGTATCTTCTGCATGATTGCTTCCGTAGTTCTCCAAGTTTCCACCCTATACAGTAGAACTGTCTCGACATTTGTATTTAAAATCCTGAACTTGGTGTTGATTGACAATTGTTTTGAGTTCCAGATGTTCTCCGTCTGGAGCCCCTCCCGGTATACTGCGGGTCCCAAGCCCGGACAAAGGAGAAGGGTTGGGCATGTGGTTAGCGACCCCATCCCGTAGAAGACTAACTCGCTAATAAAACCCTAACCAGAAAAAATTCAAACCATTGGATTTAAAACTAATTTATTAAAGTGTTCAACTCTGCGAGTCAACTAGTCTTTCATGGATAAACTGAGTTGCTTTAACTTTAAGTTAACTATATGACGGTTCTCAACAAGAACTGAGAAGTAAAATAATAATTTTTCGTTATAGGAACTTGAATGAAATTAGACCCTTTGTTAAGTCTTGATGGTGTAATAAGAAAAGGAAGATGATCAGAACTAAATGATGATAGATTAGTGCAATACATTTCGAATACTTGAAGGAGGTTTGAATTTTTGTATGACCGACACTTCAATAAACTTTAGTATGCACCCTTGATTTATTTTTACGTATAAATGTTCTTAACATGTATATGAGTGATTAGATGGTTCGAAATGCATTGCACTAATATATGTATCACATAGTTCTGATAATCTTTGACTTCTTATTACACTGTCTAAATTTTTAGTATACGGTTATGAAGATTGTCAAAATTCATTGGAATGGTTAACCGACCGGGATGACCATTGAAAACCTGATTCACTAGATGGATACTTCGTCCAAGAGGCTGTAGTGTCAGTTATTATACTAAGCCTATATACCTTATTCTAACTTTCGGACATCCCATTTTATTCATTCTACTTCAGCCAAACTATGACCTTGTTATTTATTAACTTATCAGTCTTCACTGTTTTTATATGAGCGTATATGTGTGTGCCCTTCTTATCCCATTAATCACATGTCTGTAGCTTTATTTTGTCTGACTATAAATATGGAGTCACGCTTGACTAAAATGGAGTTGGCCTCCCAGTCATCTTCCCGGCGTGTCATCTTGCCTTACTCTGTCTTATTCGCTTCATATACAGAATATATGTATTCACAAATCAGTTCTCGTTATTCGACTTATTTAATTCCGTTATTGACTAACGCGATTAAGTCGACGATTATATACGAGAATAGGCGATAACAATCATTCGTACAATCTAAATTGGAGTCAGATCCACGGGCTACTAAAATGGTGAGCCCTTCAACGAACATCGTCCAATCTGAACGACGACAAAACAACGGGCCACTAAAAGACCAAGCATTCGCACGCGAGGCCGAAGGTCTTGGGTTCGATTTTCTGCTTACAAAGTCGCGTATACGCGCTTCTGAAAAACCATCCAGTAATTCCAAGTTCTCACTGGTTGTCTAAGTCTGATCAATTTGAGGTTTTATTGAAAATAATTTTCATTAATATGCTTACCTCTATTAGAGTTGGTTCTTAACAATGTTTAGTATTAAATCGATCTTCTATTTGACCTACTTACCATAGAGTAGAATTTGATTTGATTTTCAATTTAGTTGTTAAGTTTTATATTTTGCCGAAATTTCAAAATAAACAAATCAATATTAGACTTTAGACTTTCCTAGAAAAGACTGAAAAATTTATGTTCTGGTTGGTACTGGTTAAATATTATGAAATAAGTTACAACATAACCACTTGTCTAAATGACTTGAAATGATGTACGCCACATTCCATAGCCAGATCTTTCAGATAATCAGCAAGAAATTCATGATATTAGATAAATCTGTTTCAATTTTAATACAATATGAGATTATAGGTACGCTTTACCGACCAGTGACTGTTAAGATAAAACCTAGCTTAAAGTATTCCTCAGAATAGGGTTGTGAAGATTAGTAAGTTTTTGATTGAGATCATGAAGTGATTGATGTTGAACCACGATTTTAAACCTGGAAGCAATAGAAAGCCGTTTCGTCCTATTGTGGTACTCCTCAGCAGTTTGCATCCACGATCTACGACATTGACACCGTGGGATGCCGACTCAGTGATCTAGAGGTTAAGCATTCGCGCACGAGGTTGAACGCTCTGGGTTCGAATGCCGTCAGCGTGGTCATGGATGCTCACCGCTGTGGAGCCTCACAATGGGACAAAATAGCCTTCCAGTGCTTCCAGGTTATCATCAGTGGTGGTCTAAGATTAATCAATTCATGATCTCAATCAAAGTATCCTTGTTGAATGCTTCCAATTATTTCATTAGATAAAAGAAAACTTATTATAAAGTAAATATTTTTCTATCACTTACTTCGTTTTGGTATTTTACTTAATCGTATACCAATAAGATTAATTTGTTGAATACAACATTCAAATCGTCCAGTATTTTGACTTAATCGTAGCATAAGTAAAACTTTAGATAATCGTGTATTGAAAATGATTGAATTTTCATTCTGTGGACAAATTGATGGTCGATCTTGATCGGTTAATTTTGACGTTGCAATTTTACTTTTACTGTCTGTTTCAACTTCTGTCTGTTAATTAAACAAAAAAATGGTATGAATTGTTTTCAATGAAAAGTTTGAATAAACCATTTAGACAGTGTTCGATGAGTTACAGTGTAGTAACAGATGTGAATTACCCTTATGGATTATTGAATTCAAACTTAGTGCGGTGAGACTATAATTTATGGACATCTATTGAGTAACGCTTAAATGATCATGGAATATCCACCTACTTACTAGGGTGAAATGAGATTAATATATTAGTGTGAGGGATTAAGATTAGAATTTACAGTTGAACGTTACGTTTAGGAATTAGATTTTATGTTTTTATCACGAATTGACATCAGATATAAAGCTAAAATAGTAATTAGGTTAATGAATGGATGAATTTCGTGCCAAAACTCAAAATCTACTATCTTAAATCTGATTGGCTCGTCTATAAATTAAGATCTTGCCGAAGAAACAGATGTCCATTGATTCTTTAGCTTTTATAGTTGTCTATTTGATTTTATCTCATGGTTAATGTTGACTTCGAATGGTAACAAGAATCAAGTTAAATGCTCAAAGTGATTGATAAATTTTATATGAACTAAACTGAAAATAGATAATTAAAGAATATTTCACTGATTGAAATCATGAGTCAATTGAAACTAGATCACCATGGAAAACTTGAAAGCACTGAACGGCCAAATCGTCCTAGTATGGGACTCTTCAGCAGTGCGCATCCACGATCGCATCTCCCGCTATGTTCGAATCCAGGACCTATCAGTCTCACGCCAGGCGCTTAACCAACCAGAACACTGAGCCTGCCGGCATCCAACGGTGTTAATGTCTAACTTCAACCAATCCACGAAGTTGCATCACCGTACACCATTGCCTTCAGTGAATTGGTTTCTCACAATAGACCTGGTTGAACTCCACTGGTAACGGTTTCTTAATAGAACTCCAGGAATATCTCTTGAAGTGAGTCACTAGTGAGCAGATGATTAAAGAATAGTAATCTTACTCATTAGGGGAATTATTGATCCAAATTAACGTTTGTTTACTAGACCAGTTCGATTAAATCATCAAATTTAAATTAAGATCTCAAAAGGTTGATTATTTCAATTCATCAAGAATATGGTGGTCTAGCTTCAATTAACTCATGATTTCAACTGCTGAAAGAATATCTCTCTTGAAAGTATGGAGAAATTATTTTCCAATGGTATTAGAAGATGATAAAACTCAATGAAAATCACAATAATAAGTTAAGACTAACTTTATTGTTATCATTATTCTTATCTCTTGTAATTATTAAGATCATTCAAGACAGTTTGTTAAACAGTTATGATATTGAACCTGTTATTATTCTAGTGACATTTAAATTACGGGTAACTTCTGAAATGTATTAATGGACTAACATTCTGTATACATATATCCTTCTTGTATAACTATTCAGTAACTAGATTATATATATCTATATTCCCCTTTATTATAAGCTTCACTTTGGCTTATCGACTACTGTTATACAATTTACTATTCTTAAATTATACTCAGTTTATTGATTACAGTCTATAATGTTCACAACCACTTATCTTTCTCTATAGCGAAACATTTGATTGAGACTGGTCATAAGGTTGATATCAAGTCAGTATTTGTAGTGTTATACAAAAGTCTCCAATGACATATACTAAGGTTTATTGAAGCCTTGGCTATGGGGAAATTGAAACCCCCTTAATGTGTTCAAAAACAATTTGTTCATACCTTTAACCTACCTTGTTAATAGTGATTTATTATTCAGAGTGGTTAACACTCTGTGTACTATATTCCTCTTTGTTACAGCTTACCTTTAACCTGTCTAACTGACCATTTATTTCTTTATATATAAATGGTCTTAACAAGTATATAATGTGTGATCAGATTGTTAGAAATGTATTGCGCTAATCTGTCATCAATTAGTTCTGATCATCTTCATCTTTTCATTGCATTATCGAAAGACTGAACCATCTAGCATTTTGGAGCATTAGTTGTACATATACATGTATGATTTTTACTTGGGATTTTATTTGAGTCAGTTAAAGTTATCTATATATGTCGTTTATTAAGTGAAAAGTTAGAGCTTAAACTAAAAATCCTCAATGAAAATTATACCCTCTTATGTAGCATTCATCATTTAAATGAATAGGAATATGTGTCAGCCAGTCAGTCAGTCAGCAACAACACAGAACTTCGTACGTACGTACGTACATCAGTTCGAGTTTTCATACCACATTAACACAGAAATGCAGTTGTCAATTCAAATCCCGTAGTGGTAGAGGTAGTCAAAGTATAAGCAGTAATCGGAAACATTCGGGTTTGAAGATGTTATTCAAGGAGTATAATCCAGTGAAATAAACTTGAAAAGAGAAAAAGGAAAGGGACATGAAGAATTCAGAAGATTAGAATTTTGGAGAACACAAAAAGTGGATGCGTCTGTGCCGTTTGCAAACGATTTTGAGCCATGTCATTCAAGGTCTCTAATCATCGATTGCTATCATCTCGTGGATCCCAACCAGGTAGTTTACACTTACCAATATGGCTCAATCCACTTGTCAGTGACTTCATGGAATTGTGCGATGAGGAAGGTATACGATATTTCATACATATTGAATATGGATAAAAACGGATGCTCTACAGAACCACGGACATGTATCCTATCTTATGCATACAGAAAATTGTTCTTAAAAGGAATTCATGTCAATAAGAACGGGAGTATTATAACGTAACTTCAACAATACAGTAAAATAATAACTCTAAATATCATAGAACCAATAACGAGTATCCAATATTAGTAACTAAGTGTTTGTTTATTGAATTCAGATCCAAGTGAATAATAAACTTATTAAACTAAATCACAATATAATGAAGTTGTGATTGTTCATAAGATAAATCAGTATCGATTTTCTATAAAATAGATTATCGGATTAAAGTTCATAATCATACAATGATGCATAAAGATAATGAACTACATTCGTGGTTATAATTCGTTACGATTAACTAGGACAAATTGAGGTAAGAAGTAACAAAGTCATTGACATTTTAGTGATAAAATGACCTAATCTTTAGAGGAAAGAGAGAAGGATGAATAACGAGAAGATCTGGAGTTGTGTAGGATCTTGTCGAGGGTTAAGATTTCATTGTCATATAGACCTATGAAGCTGTTATTATAACAGATAACGGAACATAACCATCTTTCATATGAAATCATGGTAGGTACGAGAAAATTGCTAAACAAATTATAAGATTGAACAGCTTTATCAGCAGAAATAATACGTCAAATTGTAACTGCAATATCTACCAGTTGGTCTTATGTTGTATCAGTTTATCTTCCAGCTCCTACTACATGACTGTTATGTACCCTTACCAAATACAGAATCAATGGATACACACTAAATGTGTAGAGAAAATTTGTAGCTCAGGTGGATGATTTTGGTGGAGTTTTGTTCCCTGAGCTGGATGGTTTGGTCCATCCAGCTCAGAGAACAAAACTTCACCAAAAACACTAAATGTGTTTTCTGAATGTAAGACGACTGCGAGAGGAGACAATTTACTTCTACAGGTTGTAAACCAATTTAAATTAGTACAGCAATGAATCATTCAAGATATTGTCGCCCTTGTTTGTTCAGATTGACACAATTCATGTAATGAAATTCAGCATGATTATTCTATTGGTTTATGTTTCGATGAGCGACAAAAGAACGAATTCTTATAGAGTAATTTCAAACAGTTAAACGAGTTCCATGATGGTTTACAACCGTTAACTATCATGACTAATTACGAAATATCAGAGTTATCAGAATTTCGACAATTAGGTACAATAAGGTTGCTACTTCTATCTGCGCCAATTTATATGGGATAGACTAGAGCAACCGTCAAACCTTCAACAATAAATGAATGGTTTTCTCTCAGATCCGCTAGTTGGCAGCATTAGATTTTTTTGCCGCTTTCAGATGTCATAATATCATCTGATAATTCAGTGGAATCATCATTCTTCGTTGAGAATGAAGATCTATTGACAAATTGTTTTGAGAAACCCTTTTGCGGAAGATCAAGAAGTGAAGATCTAACTGATTCAATTTTCTTCCAAATTGTACGACGAAACGTCCACACTTTTGTTGTGGTAGATTTCACTGAAACGATAGTATAGATGTCACTGCTGTTCATCTAAACATATGGAAATTCATGGATTCTCAAAAAAAAGGAAAGTCTAAATAAATTGAAAATCGAGCAGTTTGTTTTAGGTGTCCAGTAAAAGCATGCAAAAAGAAAGTGTAAGAAGGTGAAATCACACAATATATGGGAGGTTAAAAAGACTAAGTTCAAGTTCCATTGTGCACATCATCACTGAGATTCAGGAATGTCAAGCTGACGAGTCATAAGTAAGAGAAAATGCATTTCTTGAACTCCATTCCAAGTTACAATTCATATATCAAAAATTGTAATACTTTAAGCAGTTTTTCTTTCAGAAAATTGCCATCTCACAGCAGTAACACACAGAAAGAAACCTATTAAGCGTATTGTAAAACATAATGCAATATTAACTGATTTACACTGAACATCCATGATCCGCTTATCTTTCTAAGAATTCTAAAATAACTAGTGTAGAAACTGTAGTTACCATGGCAATATAGATGGTCCTCTTTTCTAACTTTAGTCAATGAATGATTTACAAAAACTCTTTATAAATATGACATATTCCTTCTCATAGTAATAATTTTTAGAGATGATGAATTTCGTCTAGTACTTTCGATTTATTTTAGTCATGAATGTTTATTGAACACTGAGTATGTAAACAAAAACCTCATTTTCATATACTTTGTACTTTAGTTATCACGGTTAAACGGTGTTCTGAAGAAGATCCCAAGCTTAATTAGATTCCTCTATAGTTGTTTAGTGAACCAGGAATTTTCAGTATTTCAACTAGTAATTCAACTAGTGATTATCATTATTAAATTATCATGTTAATAATTTCTAAAAGTCTTGCTTAATGATATATAAATTAAATGTATGACGAGGTCAATATTTTAAATGTAGTTTGATCATCAGAGAAAAGTATCTTTGGTTCATGCCTTAGTAACGTACAATCTTCTAACAAGACTTAATATCAATTTATACAAATAAGTTCTCATAAACTATGTTAAACTCTTTAAAATACACCTTAAATATAGCATGGATTGGTTGAAGTTAGTCTTATCAAGCCTAGTGAGCTAACTGAAAATTGAAATCTGAATGTTCAAATGAAAGGCACAGAATGATATAGGTCAACTGTGTTGTTCATCATTATTTTTTTAAATAAAGTTTTACTACTTATTAAAAAATAAGTACGTTGACTAATTTACAAAAAAATGTATCATCAATTCCAATTACCTTTGTTAATTGCAAATCATGTGAAGCCGGTAGAACATGGATTGATTGAAAATTTACTGTGAGAATATTTTCAATATTTAAATTTAAATTTTCAAATGGTAGAAAAGCTTCTCCACACAGATATTCTTCATTTCCGAAAAATCCAACGATACAACAAATTAACGTAGATTTGTGTATAGTAACTTGACAATAAGTCAAACAATAAATGTATAGAAGGTAAATACCAGAAGAATTTGAAACACTTAAAACAAACAGTTTAGAATGAGAGAAAAAAATTTCCATGCAACTCTCACTGTGACTCTTTCAATACAAATATCATATAAGGAGTAATATACAACATGACTAGACAGAAATATAGTCACTAAACTAATATACATCTAAAATTGAGAATGACTTTCTGTAAAGAGGTTGAGGAGAAAAGCTTGTCTATAAAACAGGTTGTAAGTAGATTTTTTAAAAGTAGTTTCACTGATCATTAAAACATTAGGATGGATAATTTGAGTGGAAAGAAAATATCAAGCCAACATTAAGATAGTGGAAATGCGAATTCATTGTCAATTAAGTTAGTTCCTGTAGTGATTGTGAAATATAAAATTAAAGATAAACATATTTAATTTATTTATTTGAGCGCATAAATATTGCTATAAAGGGGTAGCGAATACATATGCGCTACAGAAGTCACATGATTTTTATGTGGGCTGTGATACTGCATAGGTGACCAAACCGAAGTAGATGGTTTTCTTGGAATGCCATACTCAATGCTTTTAACCTAAAGGTCTGATTCACAAAGCAGTGGGTTAACGTCAGGAGATGTAGTCCCATGCTAACCATTGGTCAACAATCGCTTCAAACACCATTTGTTCCTTCAGGATACTGGAACCCATGTTTACCATTGGTTTGGAATCAGGGTTTCCCAAATCATCTAAGTGGACTTTCCGTGTTCACCAACCCGGTTGATGCACTGGACATTCGCTTTTCATCCTCTCAATTTCGTAAACATCAGTAATGCAGCGAGAAGGCAGTGAGCAAGACTTCCCTTGCAGTGGTTAAATGTTCGTGACCATGTAAGAGTATTTCGAATGGGAAAGCTGAATCTCTCCACTCTGTTCTGTGCCAGGGCATTTGCGGGCAAATTGTAGTGTCAGGTGTAGGATTCGAACACACGCCCACTGAGTAGATTGTGACCTGAGTACTTCGGCTTGGACCACTCGACCGTCCTCACATATTTGTTACTAGCCGCAATGAATGACTTTTGAAGTGCGATAGAACAATAAGACAAGATAATGTTGAAGTAAAAAAGAACATTGGAGGTATCACTGAGCTAAAATTTGAACATATCTCAAACTAAATGCTTTGGCATTATTTTTTTCGACAAAGTCACTGTGATTTGACCAAATAGGGAAAAATATATATCGGAAGTAGAACACAACATGTTTGCTATTATCCTTGAATTAAGCTGTAAAACATGATTATAGCCACTTGATGATGAATTAAATGGATTCTTCATTTGTCAAGAAATATTTGAAACACATCTTTAAAACGAATAAGAACAGCTTTTTGATTGAAATCATGAACCGATTGATGTTAAACCACCTTTGGAAACCTGGAAGCACTGGACTGCCGTTTCGTCCCATTACGGGACTCCTCAGCGATGCCCATCCACTATCCCGCTCGCGGGATTCGAACCCGGGCCTTTGAGCCTTCTAATAGTAATATCTGTTTAAATAAATAGAATTCTTCAGAGAAAAATTCATCACAAAAGTTGGATTATTCAAGGTATTACTTGTAAAGGTGAAGTTTATGAATAAAGTTTAACACTGAGTTAGGTTCAGTCAGTTTACATACAGTCTTTAGTTGACATTTTGTGTCATATAATCAATGAGGTTGCTCAATTTAACATTGAATTACAATACAAAGTGATATAAACTGAAGACTATTTTCAACTTGTGAGTAATCTCTTTGTAGAACAGTATAGTAGATATTACAGACATTCAGATGGATCTGATGCAGATGTGAAAGCGCAGATCGGAAAAGCAAGAGCATCATACTTACAAATGAAGAACATCTGGAACTCAAAACAATCGACAACCAACACCAAAGTCACAATTTTCAATACAAATGTCAAGACAGTCTTACTGTATGGGGCGGAAACTCGGAGAACTACGAAAGCCATCACCCAGAACATACGAGTGTTTATTAACAGCTGTCTACGCAAAATACTTCGGATCCGGTGGCCGGACGCTATCAGCAATAACCTACTGTGGGAGACAACAAACCAGATTCTAGAGGAGGAAGAAATCAAGAAAAGAGGCACTGGAAGTGGTTAGGAAACACATTGAGGAAAGCACTCAACTATGTCACAAGGCAATCCCTCACCCGCACTTGGAATCCTCAAGGCTAAACAAAGGAGAAGAGGAAGACCAAAGAACACATTACTCCAAGAAATGGAGTCAGACATGATAAGAGTATACAAGAATGGCATAGAACTAGAAAGTAATGCCCAAGACAAAGTGTGTTGGAGAAAGCTGGTCGGCGGCCTATGCTCCATTAGAGGTAACAGGCGTAAGTAAGTAAGTAAGTCAGAAGGACTCCTTCAGAACAAATAAAGTGAACAAAACATTGTTCGACAACTGATAAACGTATAACGAAAAAATAATTCCAAGTTGAAAGGATTTAGCATGTTTCATTTTTGACTATACATCTAATTGAAGTTTTCGTTTATTTTTTCCAAACAAACATCTTTTGTAATCATATAGATGTATGGCAGATCGATTATTCGACATCAGATATGTAATTATCTTCCAAATAATCCCAATTTAATAGGTATCATTACCAAGGTTTAATTTGATAATTCCAAATAAACTGAGCCTTGAGTAGATTGTTATTAATAAAAATAATATAGTTCTGTAATATTCCAATGAATAGAAAAATTGGATTTTCTGAGGTTTCGTCATTTTGTATAAGCCGCTTCTTCAGAGAATGAACAAATAACCAAATCTAAATTAATCCAAGTTTAAATAGTAAAAACGAACAAAACAAGAATATTAGGTGAGATCAATCAAAAAACCGATTTGAATATCTCAATGTCATGTCATTTCGGTCAACGTGATCCATAAACGACATGCATGTAAATTTTTGTGCGTGTATGTGCATGTATCCAAGGTTAGAGATGAAAAAATGTGTGACCTTTATAGTGAGAAAGTATAGAGTTTAATTCGTATGTAAGATAATAGTGTGAAATGTAACATAGTAGCTTGGATAGATAATCCAAGTTATTGATTTTGTGTATGGGCTGAGCTTCTGTCCGAGTGACCAAACTGATTATTTATTTTCTCTGAAGAAGTGGCTTACACAGACGAAACACCAGAAAATCTCAATTCTCTACTCATGGAGATATCCATAAATATATTTGAACACTTCATTTCTATCTGAAGTTTGTGCTGATGATATCGTTCAGAAGAACGATGAATGCTCCACTATCAAACCATCCAGCTCAGAGAACAAAACTTCTGAGCTATAAATCTTCTCCATCATATTGATTTTATTTAATCTAAACTTTTTAACATTGGAACATTACTATTTTCAACTAATTACCTCGGATATGACTAAAAAAACAAACAAACAAACAATAACACATACCAAGAGGAATTTTAAATTTCCATTCTTCTAAGTATTCTGGATTTGGTGCTGTACGTATTTTACTTTGCCAATATTGTTTATTATCTGGTTCCATAGATAAGTTAATCTTTTATGATTTGTTTGTTGTTTTTTTAAAGAAAAGGAAAAAAAAAGAAATGAAAGTATTATGTTCATGAAATAACAAAATGAAATTCTCTTCTTCTATGTTTGAAGTTATGACGAATTCACTTAATCTGTGAACGAGAAACAAGACTCGGTGACCAAAGACTAGTAAGTTACCTATTGACGTGAATCAGCTCCTCTAACTAGAGGGAAAAGTCCAAGCTTGGAATGGGGAAGTATATTCTGCAAAACAGACAGAAATGAGCGATCACAACAAACACAATTCAAAACGTATATATACAGTACAAAACCGTTCTTGGGGAGAGTTACCAAATAGCATACTGAAGGATGCAACGAACCAATAGCATTTAAGATATATCCCAGTGGGAAATACGATCTGAAAGTGACAAGAGCACCTTTGGCACGAAAACAAAGAAATTCAAATTTTCGAAATAAAATTACAAAATTAGGTCGTTTTCTAAGTGAGTTCTGAGGATCTAACGTCCCCAACATGTTCATTAGAAACCAGTTTTACTTTAAACAATAAGTGAAGTTAAGGTGCTTTTATCAGTTAGCAGTAATTTTTACTTAAATTCTTGTCCTCAGAAGGGATTTTGTGGAGATTTTTTTAAAAATTTCACTGACTGAAATAATAAGTTAGTTGAAGCTAGACCACCATGGAAAACTTGGAAGCACTGGACGGCCGTTTCGTCTCAATGTGTGATTCCTCAGCAGTGCGCATCCACGATCCCGCACCCCACGAGATTCGAACCCAGGACCTAACAGTCGAATACTAGGACGAAACAGCCGTCCATTGCTTCCAGGTTTCTCATGGTGCTCTAGCTTCAATTGACTCATGATTTCAATCATTGAAATTTCTTATTTGTTTAGATTGAGAAAACTATTTAACTTGTATAGTAACATAAGTATTCAGAAAAACATTCACACCTTCTAGGTAGTATATATGAACTTCAGTTAGTAATTTCATGTAGGATTTGTGTTTTATTCAATTTGGGAATCATCAGATGGATATATCTTGGGTTCCAGTATTGAAATTCACTGTCATATTCCAATGAGAAACGTTTTCCAAGGAATCTACAAATTACTTAACACACTTTATAGTAGAAAATTTATTCATTTAAGAGTGACATGTAAATAGGGTGTTTACGCATTTTTTAAAACGGTACTTCATTATGTCATAGTAGTCTTATAGGAATTTCTGATAGATTCTAGCAATTTTACATCAATTAATACAAAAAACGAATAGATTTACATCTAAATGATAAAAAAAACTTCTTTTTGATAAATGATTCAACCACTTATGCCAGATCAAACAAGCTTATCAATTTAATTTGCAATTATCCATCTATCAATTAAGGGATGAGTATACTGCGCGGCAGTTCGTTCCGCTGTATTTTACGACTACGAAACGCGGCCATTAAGAGTAGTATATACTCGTAAGCTACTTGTATTTAATCACAGATGCCTTAGAAATATTGCTCACATCTACGATCATCGGGTTAGTAATAGTGAGGTTAGACGTAGGGCATTAGGGAATGATGATGGTAAGTCAGTTGATGAGGTTGTGAATCTTCATCGACTGAGGTGGTTGGGTCACGTGTTGCGTATACCTGAATACCGATTACCACGACGCGCAATGCTGACTAGCGTTGGAGACAACTGGAAGAAAGTTAGAGGCGGTTAAACTAAAACGTGGCATGAGTCATTGAAATAACCAACCTCTAATTTGAGCGTTACTGGTAGATGCAGACTACTTGGTTGAGGTCCGCGTGACTATCGTAATCTATGGTTGGAGACTCTGTGTGACATGGTTGAGAATTGATCACAATGGCGTCGATGTATACACTCTTTGTTTCCCCATAAACTATGAGATTAAGCTGGCTTCATATCTTTCTTTGTACCAACCAATTCTTTCTTCCTGTATTATGTCTTTATATGCAATTTTTCTTTTATATATTACCACCATGGGCTTAACTGCTTCTATGAATCCGGTGTTCATGTTGTTGAGCTGATGAGGTGTGCCAACTTGAACCAATTTATATATGTACCTGGTCCTACATTGTAAGTGACTGACTTACTGACAATTAACTGTTCATTGTAGTACTCTAATTTAATAAAGAATTTTTTATCCAAAATATTTACCGTAATGAAATTTCAGTGACGTTTTCACTCCGGCTAACTTTTAAATAATGTTTGAATACAAACATTATACTACTATTAAGTAGGTGAACGTTTAACGTAAAGTTACATGCTCTTGAAAATGTATAATTTGTACCATCTCACAATATAACAATTCAGTTAGGGGTTTGATTATATTAATAGTAATGAATCTATAGATACGACAAAAATGATCATAGAATCAATTTGACATACTTGATAAGCTGAGGGTCCGCCAGCTTCTCTGCCTGGTACATTATTTGCACGTATAACATTCACATGCATTTCTTGTTCTGCATCATTATAATGGACAGATAATTGAAGTTTGCTTGAATTCTACAAAGTGTGAAAATAAATTGGTCTATTAGTTCAGTATACGGCCCAGGACAGAGTGGGTTGTCGAATGCTGGTCGGCGGCCTATGCTCTATTGGGAGTAACAGGAGTGAGTAAGTAAGTAAGTAAGTTCAGTATATGGACAATTTTATTTCTTTAAATGAATTAAGGAAAATTCATATTCATAGTCTCAAACGGATTGTTCTGAAATATTGTTTTCTAAGATTCTTATCCCTTCCAGTTTGAAGTGGATATAATGGAAACATCCCATCAAGTAATTATATCACATATCTCTCTGTTTATTCATTGAAGTGAAGTTACTTTTGCTTGGAAAAATATTTCAATGTTAAACTACATTTACTAGCCAATGATACTTCAGAAATACTGTAATGAGTATTTATATTAGTATTTATTGGTATTGCACACACTTCGTAGATAACTTTGATGCCTGATGTTACTTTTTAGAAGAAACTAGGAAGGACCTGAATAAGAACTTTCGTCAAAATTTGAACGAATAGTTTCACAATATTTGGGCGCCGAGTTAATAAGAGTTATTAATGACCTGATAGCTCTTTCTTCTTAATACAGATATGCTTTCAAGTACTTATTCACGACTTCACCAGAGATCGAACTCAGGACCGGGTTTCTTAGTGAGTGACGTTTATAGATTACACACTTGCTGCAAGAAAAAAACTGAAGATAAATGAAAAGTGCTCTGTTCAACATAATAAAGGGAACAAAGTGTATGTAGCAAGAATTTAACTACTATTTCGTCTTAATATGAAACTGTTCACTAGTATACACCCACAAGTTTCCAAGGGATTGAAAGTATAACCTCTAGGTTTGGGGGATATAACGATACTTTAAAACTGCCAATTTGGAAGACATTTGTTTACATTAATGATTTTCTCTGCCTTCAGATTAAATTTAGTCCGTGATATCAGCTAAAAATTCAAAAATTTTCATGAACTGTCCAAGCTACCGATTATGCTTCGGTTTAGGTTGAATAAAATTTGTTAATATTTACAATTGATTGATCACTAGGTGATTATCAATGTCATGTATGTAAGTTCCTTCTTAGTGCAGGTCGAATCAACCAGGTTGAAATGTGGCCACTAATCTAGGTGATTCGACATTGCATGCACTATGTTGGAAGTAGTTGACAGTAAACCTTAGACCTAATTGCTAATTGTTACTCATGAGCAAGATGTACCTGTAATCTTGAGGGAACTGATGTTTCCTGACGGATTCGATCCCGTATCATACAGCCTCACAGTGAGACACGCTATCACTGAGCTATCCAGTAAAATCTCTGACAATGAAGCTGGGTGATGCGGAATCGCATTCGTAAGGCAGCATCAGTTCCCTCAAGATTGAAGGTACATCTTGCTCATGAGTACCAAGTAGCACGAATCCTAGGTCCATGGTTTACTGTTGACTATCTCCAACCACTATCTATTTTGTCGACAGTTTTTTTCTATGCTCAACCGTACATACCACCTTCATGTGTATTATAAAACAAAACTAGTAATACTACAGTCTGATGAAGCAGTCCGTTTAGTATTAAGGATATAACCAGTCTATTTTGAAAAAACTCACTGAAATTGGTTTTGAGAGAAATCTGTTTGGTGAGTTGAAACCACTGCTTAAATTCTTTTAGTTCATATAAATGCAAATTATACTTTTATGATGTTTGAGTTGTGTTAGTTGAGACATTTATTTCCATAATATAAATTCAACAACTAATTACCGGTAATGTAAAGGATTTCATTTCATCTTTGTCATTGTCATCATCTTCATCAGAAAATGATTCCTCTGTGTCTGTATCATCAGAGGATTTTGGTTCATTAGTTAAAAGATCCAATTCTGCTTCATACTCTTGTATTGAAAGAATTTTAGGCTTTCCACCTTTTGACGAATTAGATGTTTTTCTCTTGTTGTTTTCGTTATTAGAACTGGAAAGATCTTCTGAAGCTAAAATGTTTCAGATAAAATAGAATAATTTCATATAGAATATGGATGGATGTACAAAGTTGTCCAGCAATTAGAAAACTACCTTGGTAAACTAACTAAACAAAGAATAAGGGAAAGTTAGAAGGTTATAAGTAAGTAATTTTTGAATAAATAACATACAAATGTCACTGCAAACGTAATTTGTTTACATGTGTACAAAACAGTATTCGATACTTCATGATAATACTAGTTTCCAACCCAAAAAGAACTATGTACTAACTGAGAAGAGGTTTAGGAGAAATGCAACAAGTTTAAGATCTGATAAAGTTATACTATCAGTCATCCTGAATGAAAGTGTACCCTATGGATGATGAGCTTCTCTTGTAATACTGCTTTATAACAATTAGTTAGGAAAGTTTAACTCTATAAACAGACACATTATCCCTTTCTACTGCTAACATTTGACGCCAACATTAAGGTTTATAATTAAGGTTTGTAGTTGATGCAAGAATAGATGGAACAATCATTCATAAAAGTATGGGGTATAGATACTAAAAGAATAAAAATTCTTTTATTATGAAGGTGACCGATTAGCAGTCGGCATTTTTTAAACAGCATTCAACCGACTGATTTTTATCTCCATCGACGTAATATGCTTTAACACAATAATCTTTTGGTTAACATAGTTTATATAACTAACGGATAACATGTGCCAGTCGAATATTTACGGCTAAGCATCATTTAATATTATTTTACTGGTTAGCGTTTTCTTCTTAACGAGTTAGTTTTCTACAAGATGGGGTCGCTAACCCCATGTCCAACACCCCCTTTATCCGGGCTTGGGACCGGCAGTAGCCCCCGGGGGGTATATTAATATTCATTCAACAATCATATTGTTGGTAAATGACAATTACTGTTTCATGTAATAAATATTTTATTAAAAGGGTATAAAAACAAAAGTATAGATTGGTTAAAAGAACAATAAACGTCAATGAAAACATCCACTACTAATGAGCTACTAATAGGAAAACTACATGAAATACAATATGCTGAAAGTTAAACTCTTTGTCCATTTCTAATCTATTCTACTTGTGGTTGTGTTTCTTTTTAAGTGTCTACCTACATTTTTTCCATAGTGTAGGGTTTTTAAGTGCAGTTGTTAATGGAACGATAATTAATACATTTCTACCAACAGTTTCTAAAACAGAGTTATTTTTGTCTAGAAAACAAAAAGGTTAAAAAACAAAAAAGAAATAAATAAATAAAGCAAAGAAACGATGTACACAAAACCGATTTTGTTTTTTTAGATCTTGATCTGAGAAAGAAAAATTTCACAGATTGAAATCATCAGTCAATTGAAGCTAGACAACTATGGGAAACTTGGAAGCACTGGACGGCCGTTTCATACTAGTATGGGACTCCTCAGCAGTGTATGTTCACTGTAAATCTAAAGATGATTACAATAGTCTACAAGAATACAATTCATTTGGTATTGTTTTACCTGAATCTTCCGACTGATATTTAGGACTGTAATTGATCAGTCTCTTACTGAAATATGTGCATACTACTGTGCACATTGCATCGATATTGCCTTAATTCGCAAGTATTTTAAGCAAAGATTAATAGTGGTTAGCACTGGAATCTAGTCCTATTTGGGACTCGTTAGCTGAATGTACCTGCACGTCATTGTTGATGTTCTTTCTGGGGCTGGGGCACAGTACCGTTCGTTTCAAACACCATGGCGTTATCCACTTAGCTACTATGTCTACAAGAATTATTTTGAATTATTCATAATCTTAATTAGTTACTGGAACAAACTATATTCATTAGACAAGTAACCTTATTCCAGTATCTAGTAAGGATTTTAAGTTATGAAAATGTCAGATAGGTTTTGTGGATATTATAGTAAATTCAGTGGTTAAGATCATGAGTCGATTGAAGTTAGATCACCATTGAAAACCTGGAAGTATTGGACGACTGTTTCGTCCTATTGTGAGACTCCTCAGCAGTGCGCATCTATAACCTCGCCCCCTGCAAGATTCGAACTCAGGACCTACTGGCTTCGCGCGCGAGCACTTAAACACTAGACCATTAAGCCGGCATCCAATGGTGTTAATATCTAACATCCAGGTCTTCCAGGTTTTCCATTCTAGTCTAGCTTCAACTGACTCATGAACTAAACCATTGAAATTATAAAAATGTTTTGATGAATTCTCTATTATATTATTTTATATTCATGAGTAAACTTGCTCTGACCAATCGATTATCATCATCATCATCATTACAATCATGAGTACAGTTTTTAATTTTAACATTATTCATATTATACATATATACATATAATCATAAAGATAGATCTTATAATGTAAACTAATCACTATATGATACTTAATATTGATTGAATTCTCTAATCATAAAGTTTTATTTGTACTTTAATGTAAAACAAGCAAAAAAAAATCAATATTGTTCTTCTATTCGAATTATTGATCAAATGAATAATCATAAGTTATTGATTATCAATAAATAAATAATAGATAATATTTATGATTAATTTTAGTAGGAAAGAATAATGTGTATAGGTTGTCTTGTAGCTAAGGTTCATCTTATTGAAATGAATGTCAATGATCATTTATTATATGTAATAGATATATACAACTTTGCTTGGACCCCCCTTTTGGGCTAATGTCGATCTCAAGCCCGGATAAAGAGGAAGGGGGTTACATATGAGGTTAGTGACCTCATCCCATCTCTTCGTAAAACAACGCTAACCCGGGAAAAAAAATAATTCGGACCAATATATATATATATATATATATATATATATATGAATGGATCATTCATTTAACTGTATTGATGTACTCAAAAAACTTAAGTATAAAGATGGATGATATTATGCTTTATTGAATTATTTTATTTTTGATAAGTTATTCATTGCGTACAATAACGATGGGATCCAATTCAATGAAAATAAATATCACGCAACAACAAATGCAGGAGAAAACGACGAGTATAGCAGCAGTCTCAACAACAGTAGGTCTCAATATACACAAAGGGAAGAGCAAGGTTCTCCGATACAACACAGCATGCACCAATCCAATCACAATTGACGGAGAAGATTTGGAAGATGTAAAACCCTTTACATGTTTGGGCAGCATCATTGATGAACACGGTGGATCTGATGCAGATGTGAAGGCGCGGATCGGCAAAACAAGAGCAGCATATCTACAACTGAAGAACATCTGAGACTCAAAACAACTGTCTGTCAACCAACACCAAAGTCAGAATTTACAATACAAATGTCAAGATAGTTCTATTGTATGGGGAGGACACTTAGAGAACTACGAAAGCCATCATCCAGAAGATACAAGTGTTTATTAACAGTTGTCTACGCAAAATACTTCAGATCAGACACTATTATCAACAACCTACCGTGGGAGAGAACAAACCAGATCCCAGCGGAGGAAGAAATCAGGAAGAAGCACTGGAAGTGGTTTAGGACACATGTTGAGGAAAACACCGGACTGCATCACAAGACAAGCCGTCATATGGAATCCTCAAGGCTAAATAAAGGAGAAGAGGAAGACCAAAGAACACATTACGCCGGGAAATGAAGATAGACATGAGAAAAATGAACAAGAATTCGATGGAGCTAGAAAAGAAGGCTCAGGACAGAGTGGGTTGGAGAATGCTGATCGGCGGCTAATTCTCCATTCGAATTAACAGGCGTAAGTAAGTAAGTAAGTAAGTAAGTAAGTAAGTAAGTAAGTAAGTAAGTAAGTGAGTAAGTAAGTAAGTAAGTGAGTAAGTAAGTAAGTAAGTAAGTAAGTAAGTAAGTAAGTAAGTAAGTGAGTAAGTAAGTAAGTAAGTAAGTAAGTAAGTAAGTAAGTGAGTGAGTAAGTAAGTGAGTAAGTAAGTGAGTAAGTAAGTAAGTAAGTAAGTAAGTAAGTGAGTAAGTAAGTAAGTAAGTAAGTAAGTAAGTAAGTGAGTAAGTAAGTGAGTAAGTAAGTAAGTAAGTAAGTAAGTAAGTAAGTAAGTAAGTAAGTGAGTAAGTAAGTAAGTAAGTAAGTAGGTAAGTAAGTAAGTAAGTAAGTAAGTAAGTAAGTAAGTAAGTAAGTAAGTAAGTAAAAAAGTAAGTAAGTAAGTGAGTAAGTAAGTAAGTAAGTAAGTGAGTAAGTAAGTAAGTGAGTAAGTAAGTAAGTAAGTAAGTAAGTAAGTAAGTAAGTAAGTGAGTAAGTAAGTAAGTAAGTAAGTGAGTAAGTAAGTAAGTGAGTAAGTAAGTAAGTAAGTAAGTAAGTAAGTAAGTAAGTGAGTAAGTAAGTGAGTAAGTAAGTAAGTAAGTAAGTAAGTAAGTAAGTAAGTAAGTAAGTAAGTAAGTAAGTAAGTAAGTGAGTAAGTAAGTAAGTAAGTAAGTAAGTAAATGTCATGATATTTGAAACATAATAAACACATACGCGTTACCAATGCATCGTTTGATCTTTAGTGTTAAATGAAGTCAAATTAATAGCTTGAGATAAAGCTACTAATCCAAGAGAGTCAAATTGATTGTACTATGTTCAAACATGAGGTAGTTAGAAGCAGTTGATAGTACATTCCACTTTATTTATTTTTTTTGCTACTTAGCGTTTGTTAGCTGACTCAAAATGTTCAGAGAGTATCATTTCCTTTACAATGACTGAAATGTCTCGTTAATAAGTACTAACTAAAAGAAAACCTAGTTCAAGGACTTCATATTAGTTACCTATGACCTAACACTTGATAAAGCTAAAGATTTTATGGATCAACTATTCAATAAATAACACTCATGTTTAAAGATTATTGATAAAATTCACTGATCCTTCAAAACAATCATTCAAGATTACTAGTCTTGACTTTAGAGGTTGTAGAGATTGTTAAGTTTTTTTTATTGAGATCATGAACCGATTGATGTTAAACCACCATTGAAAACCTAGAAGCACTGGACAGCCGTTTCGTTCTATTGTGGGTCTAACATCAATCGGTTCATGATCTCAATCAACAACTTAACAATCTCCACAACCCCTTAACTGATAATTACCATGTGCTCACTGGTGACTAGCTTCGTGAGAAAATTTTCGAAGTTCTGGTGAGAAGCTGTGACCAGTGGAGCTAACCCGTGTCGGGTAGAAACAGGTGTCTGCCACAGTACAATGGAAGATGGTCGCGAAATTTCATGGGCTGGTTGAGGTTAGACATTAACACTATTTGATGCCGGCTCAGTGGTCCAGTAGGTTAAGGACTGAAAGTCCTGGGTTCAAATCCCACGATCGGAATCGTGGACGCACACTACTGAGGAGTCCAAAAAATAGGACGAAACGGTCGTCCAGCGCTTCCAGGTTTCCAAAGGTGATGTAACATCAGTAAGATTACTCCCATCATCCTGATAGGAAATTTAAACTCCAAAGTCGGAATGGAAAACACCGGATATGAAGATATCATGAGACGACATGAACTGGGAAAGAGAAAGGGAAATAGGGAGAGATTTGCAAATTTCTGTGTGCATTCAACATATTGATTATAGGCAACATAATATTTAGATGGTAGTTGGAGGTAGTCAACAGGAAACCCTGGATCCGGGTTTCGTGCTACTTGGCACTCATCAGCAAGGTGTACCTGTAATCTTGGGGGAACTGGTGCTCCCTGGCGGATTCAATCTCGTGTCACCCAGCTTCACAGTCACAGACGTGACATGACATTGATCACCACCCAGTGATCAATCAATTGTAAGGCAACATAATATTCCCAAAATAAACACATACATAAACCGAAATAGATCAAACCGGATCACATAACCAAGAATCACTTAGATCATATATTGATATCAATCAACAACAAAAAAAATTCACAAAGTCAATGAAAAAACAACAACATAAAGATTAGGAGATGAGTTGATTTTAACTTCAGATTACTGTCTTGTTATGTTCAAGATAAAGAATCATGGAACAATTGAAGAAATAGTCTCTCTATAAGATATTAACAAACATTTCGATTCAATGAAGTCATAATCTTAAATCATTATAAATGATAATAAAATAGAATTTCATTTAACTTACAAGAGAATGTATTCCCCATTACTAATTATAATCTAATAGATTTCTCTTTTTACTTTATTCATTCTATTTGATGTTTAGTTGTCATCTAATTTCATCATTAAATGAATATCAAGTTCTTATGGTTTGTTACTTCTTTGAAAGAATAAAACTGGGTTGTTGTTTTTTTTTTAAAATCAATGAACTCAATTCTCTTATAATGGAACACAATACAAACTATAATGAATTATTGATCAATCAATGAGAACACAATAGAAAATGAAACATACTTTATGGAAATACTTTACAAATTATAACCAATTATATCTTATTTACTTTTTAGAAAGAAATGTGTAAAAATCAAATCGATTTTTTTAATGTGTATGTGTGTATGTGTGTGTATGTGTGTGTGTATGTGCGTGTATCAATCTGATAAAAGTGCTATACTAACCAATTGATTGATTATCAGTATTGATAATAAGTTCATATGAATGGAAATGTTGAAGTCAAAACATTGAAATAACTATAAACATGTTTCATCTTCTATTCAAAAAGATTTAGGGGGAGGAACAAGTGTCGATAGACTAGAAAGAAGGAAATCTCATCAAGAATCCAAAGAGAGAAGATCTAAGCAAATGTAAAAACTACAGAGGCATTACACTACTGTCAGTACCAGGGAAAGTCTTTAACAGAGTGTTACTAGACTGAATGAAAGACTCAGTAGACGCCCAACTGACACTGTAGCAGCAGTCTCTGCACCAGTAGGCCTCAACATACACAAAGGGAAAACCAAAGGAAGAACAGCAATCCAATCACTCTTGATGGTGAAACTCTGGAAGACGCAGAGCCCTACACATACCTGGTCAGCAGCAGCATCGATGAACAAGGAGAATCAGAAGCAGACGTAAAGGCGAGGATTGGAAAATCAAGGAGAGCATTCCTGAAATTGAACAACAAATGCAACTCAAAACAACTTTCAACCAATATCAAAGCCACAATCTTCAATACGACAGTTAATACAGTTAGTAATACAGTATGGAGCTGAAACTTAGAGAACTACAACGACCACCATCAAGAAGGCACAAGTATTTATAGATGGTTGTCTACGCAAGATACTCAACATCCATTGGTCGGATACCATCAGCAACAGCCTTTTGTGGGAGACAACAAACCACCTTCCAGCTGAAGAAGAAATTAGGAAACGACGATGGAAATGGATAGGACATACATTACGGAAATCAACAAACTACATCACAAGGCAATACCTAACTTGGAATTCTGGAGGAAGGCGGAAAACAGGAAGGCCGAAGAACATATTACGTTGGGAAATAGAAGCAGATATGAAAAGGACGGATAACAACTGGAAAGAGCTGGGAAGGATTGCCGAGGACAGGGTTGGATGGAGAATTTATTTGTAACAATTTCTCACAATTACATCCACTTTTTGGCTTGATCTTGTATAATTGGTATTTTTTGTTTTGCGGTATGGTGCGGTCTGCCTTGTTAATGAATAAACACAGTATGTCTGATGTACATGATTCGTATATCGGATGCTGATATTAGTACCTTAGACTTAACCGGCTGGGTTAGGAGAGAAGCTACTATCTCGATGGTCCAATTGACTCTGGATTCCTCATACGGGTTTATGGGCCATTGACCTGGTCACTAGGTCAGTGTTCTACTTCGTGATCGCATCACATGAGAATGAACAGGCCAAAAGAACACAACTCAGTCCTAGAGTGAACATCAACATCAACATCCACTTGACGAGTCCCAAATAGGACGAAACGCGCGTCAAACTGGATTCCACTGCTAACTACTATCCATCTTTGCTTACAGAGCTTGTGACTTAAGGCAATATAGATGCAGTCAGCACAGGATGCACGACGTGGCTATAATTTATGGACGAACCGATCACATATAAGATTACAGGTCTCGGATTTTGGCACGAAATTCACCCATCCATTTGGCTAAATAGCGTCTTGGCATCATAGCTTATGTCAGTTTGTGATGAAAACCCTGAATTCAATTCCTAACCCTAGCCATCAACTTTGAACCTGAATTCTTATTTCTCACACTGCTTTATAACCCTTATTTGATCCTAGATGTTAGGTGGACATGCTAAAGGTCACCTCAGCGTCGTTCAATGGTCGCCCATATGTTATGGTCCTAACGGATGTACATATGTCAACTAGAGACTGATGAATTTCAGCCTTAAACAACAATGGGAAGATACAAGTAAAGCAGTATCAAGTGAATAACACAAATACATATGCATGCAAAATTCACAAATAATGTTATCATGGAAACAAATTTTAAAATAAATTGGAAAAAGGATAATATTAGTTTGTAATTAAAATTTATTTACATAGAAAATTTCAACACTTACTTACTTACATACGCCTGTTAATCCTCGTGGAAGACCATAGGCCACTCACCAGCATTCTCCATCCAACCCTGTCCTGGGCAATCCTTCCCAACTCCTTCCAGTTGTTATCCGTCCTTTTCATATCTGCTTCTATTTCCCAACGTAATATGTTCTTCGGCCTTCCTGTTTTCCGCCTTCCTCCAGAATTCCAAGTTAGGTATTGCCTTGTGATGTAGTTTGTTGATTTCCGTAATGTATGTCCTATCCATTTCCATCGTCTTTTCCTAATTTCTTCTTCAGCTGGAAGGTGGTTTGTTGTCTCCCACAAAAGGCTGTTCCTGATGGTATCCGACCAATGGATGTTGAGTATCTTGCGTAAACAACTATTTATGAATACTTGTATATAACTCAGGTAGCGAACCCTACCCAGTCATACCGTATACATTTCCAAATTTCAGATGTAGCACTCTGGTTAGCGTTTTTTAGCAAGTTAGTTTTCTACGGGAGGGGGTCGCTAATCCCATGTTAAACCCTCCTAATTTATCCGGGCTTTCGACCGGCAGTAACTCTAGAAGAGCTACAGGCGGAATTAGTCATGCAATTAGAATAAATATAATAATAGTTCTCCACCATCTCATATTAATAGTCCACAAATAGATCCTAGAGGTTACTATTCAATTATTCTTCGTCCGAATATAACAATTTGTTGTGAAGTTCTAGGAGAAAAACTTAAAGTGGGTTTTCTCTAAAGATTAGTATCATTTGAGGAAGATCAAGAAAAATGGATAGTTGTTTTTATCCTGCTTTAGTCATTTTTAGCAGTACGCAACTAGACTCATAACTTTAAGGTTACATGGTAAGAGAGCGTTTCTTATACACCAGAGAATGTTTGAATCTATGGATGTAAATTCCCAGTTGGAAACATCTTGACAATCGTTAATTTCATTACTGTTTTTATTGATAGATTCATTTAAAAGAAATCTCACTGTTAATCTCAGTTAATTCACATCATTCAATTTATTACATATACGTCGATTACTAAAATGAAATGATATTCTGAAAATAATTAAAACATCTATGACAATTGTTTGGCTTATATCTTCCCATTGAGGTTTAAGACTACAATTGATCAGTCTGTTACTGGCATATGTGCACACTGTGCGTATGCCTTGATATTACCTTAATTCACAAGGTTTTTGTAAGTAATGATGGATAAGGGCTAGCAGTGGAATCCAGGACGCATGTTTCGTCGTAATTGGGACTCTTCAGCTGGATGTACCTGCGCCTCAGAGTTGATGTCCACCCCGAGACTCGAACCCAGTACAATTCGCTTCAAACGCCATCGCATTATCCATTCAGCTACTCAGTCCTGATAGTCACTATGACAATTTACAGGTATGATCAGATTTATACAGAAAGCAATTTTACATGTAAAGAACAGAGATATGTAATTTGACTGTTTAAAATGATGTGGTTTGTGGTGTCGGTTACTATGTTAAGTCCACTTAGCTTATTCTACCTTCTGGACAGGCCAAATTTATCCATTCTTATCAACCGTGACTGTTTTTCTTATAAGCACTTTTTATCCTATTCGTGTGACTATAAATATGGATTCAAGCTTGGTGAAACGGGTGTTGGTTCACACACCATATCCACTGTATGTCATTTCAATTCAATCTCTTCGCTTCTCCAGTCTTTTATCTGGATCAACGATTGTATGAAATATAGGTATTCAAAATTCATTCTCATATTTGAATTATTCAAATCCGTTATACACCAACGCAAGTTAAGTCAATAGTTTTATACGAGAATTGACAATATGTATATTTCAAGAACAATCATCATACGATCTAACTGGATTCACATTTCAAACTACTTAAGGTTCATAAATTGTTTTGAGAGAACTTTTGCCACAAACATTACAACAATGTTAATCAATGACTCCTTATTGTTAATGAAACGGTTTCATCCCAAACACTGTATCTATGTGAATAAATTTACTAGGGAATTTTAAAGACTGAAATAATGACGTGTAATCTGTCCTTAGATTTACAATCATTATCTGTTTACTACATCGATGATCATCGCTTCATTGATTCTGTTTTAAAAGCATCTACACCAATAACTACAATCCATTTCACTAGTAAAATCATAAGAACATTAAATTTCCAATCATTGTTATTATTGATCCCTTTCATTATACTTCAATTCGTACAGACATTATGATGAGACTATAATTTATGGACGAACTAATCAGATTTATGACAAAATTACTTGGATTTTGGTGAGAAATTATTTATCCATTTGACTAAATAGCGGTCGGCATTTTAGCTAATGTCAGTTCGTTATGAAAACCATAAATCTAATTATTTAACCCTAGACTACCATGGCAAACCTGAAAGCATCAGACAGCCATTTCGTCCTGTTGCGAGATTCTTCAGCAGTAAGCACTCAAGATCCTACCTCGCAAGATTTGAACCTAGGACCTATCAGCCTCGCCTGCGAGCGCTTAACCTCTACGTCACTGAGCTGGCCGACATCCAACGGTGTTAGTGTCTAACTTCAACTAATCCACGAAATTGCGCGACACATCCACCTTTTTCATCAGTGAGTTACTATCTCACAACAGATCCGGTTGAACTCCACTGGTCACTGCTTCTCACTAGAACTCCAGGAAGTACACCTTGAAGTCAATCACTAGTGAACATATGTTGATTAGTGCTTCCAGGTTTTCCATGGTGATCTAACTTCAATGGACTCATGATCTCAAATATTAAAACTATTTCGAAGTTTTTATGTCGTAACAGATGCTCATGTTTACCACTTTTTACATATAACATTGTCTATTTCATTAATACATGGCATCGATAAGCTATTTAGCCTTTTTATTTTAGT